AACCGATGTGATTCTGCAATCTGTATTTGGTGTAAAAATGGGAGTTCATAACCCACTTGAATCTAATGTATGAAATATGATATGTCAAGAGCTTTATAATGTTTTGAACAACCAATAAAAAATAAAATAATGATTATATACATATGGTGGAATTCTTTTCAACAATAAAAAAGAGCAAACTATTTGATAGGGACAACAACTTGGATGGATCTCAAGGACATTATGGCCAATTTCAAAAGGTCTCACATGATTCTACTTTTATATAACACTACAAAATGACAAAACTATGGAGATGGAAAATAAATCAATCCTTGTCAGGTGTTTGGAACGGTGGGAGAAGAATGGTAGATATGATGTGTAGGACTATCACAAGGTATAACTTTGAGCTGATGGAGTATTTCTACAATTTAATTCCAGTGATGATTGCATACAAATATATTATGTGATCAAATGACAGGGAACTACAAATAAGCATGTTGGACCACTGTCAAATTCCTTGTTCTGATATTTACTATAATTATGAATGATCTAAACCATTGCAGGACCTTCCTTAGTAAATTTTTCACTTCTTTTGCATCTATCATTCCTTTAAAATGAAAGAAAATTAAAAAGGAATGAAGTACTAACACACATAACATTATTGGTGGTTATCAAAAGCAGCACATCAGCACAAAGATTATATACCATATAATTCTAAGAAGTTTAAGAACAGTCCAGAAGTATTTGAAGCATGTGAACAGAGAAAGCTCATTCTTGGTGACAGAATTGGAGTAGTGGTTACGGGGTGTGGGGGGGTGTTAGGGGGCAGGTTTCTACTAGCAAGAGGCATAAATGAACTGGGTTTATCAAAACCCATCAAACTGCTCATTGAAGATCTGTCTATTTTATTGTGTGTGAATTACAGCTCAGAAAAGCTAAAGAGAATTAGAAAGAACATCCCCCAAATGACATATTGTTCTTACCAGTGTTTTGGTAAAATGGCCCTATTACACATGTGACCATCTCCTCCCCTGCAGCAGGAGTTCTTCAAAAGCCTCCACATCTTGTACACCGTGGGCTACTCCATTTCCTTGGGTTCCTTGGCTGTGGCCATCCTCATCATCGGTTACTTCAGGTGAGTTATTCTCAGCCACTTTCTCCATGAAGTGACGTGCTCTGATTCCTGTCCACAGAAAACATGGGTCTCATAATCTGTGCCACCACATATTTTACCAGAAGATTTTTTAATTAAACCTGATGTTAATTATATTATTTGATTCATTTTTGAGACAAATATAGGAAAAAATGTTCAACATCTCTAGCAATTAGAGAAGTGCAAATCAAAACTAAGATTTCATCTCATTCTAGTCAGAATGACAAGTATTAAGAATACAAGCAACGTTAAAAGTTGGCAAGGATGTAGGGGAAAAAAGTACACAGATACATTGCTGGTGGGACTGCAAATTGGTGCAACCATTATGGAAAACAGTGTGGAGATTCCTCAGAAAACTTGGAATGGAACCATCATTTGACCCAGCTATCCCACTCCCTCGTTTATACTCAAAGGACTTAAAATCAGCATACTATAGTGATACAGCCATATCAGCGTTTATAGCAGCTCAATTTACAATAGATAAACTATGGAACCAACTTAGGGGCCCATTAGCAGATGAATGGCTAAGGAAAATGTGTCATATATACACAATGGAATACTACTCAGCCTCAAAGAAGATTGAAATTATGGCATTTGCCTATAAATGGATGGAGCTGGAGAATATCATGCTAAGCAAAATAAGCCAATCTCAAAAACATCAAAGACCAAGTGTTTTCTCTGATATGTGGATACTAATTCACAATAAGGGGGTGGGAGCTACGGAAGAATAGAGGAACTTTGGATTAGACAGAGGGGAGTAAAGGGAGGAGAGGAGGTTTGAGTGTAGGAAAGAGTAGAATGAATAGGATATTATTACCATATGTGCATATAGGACTACTGGACCAGTGTAATTCTACATCATGTACAACTAGAAGAGTGAGAAGTTATACTCAATTTAGTATGATGTGTTGATGTGTCAAAATGCTTTCGACTATCATGTATAACTAATTAGAAGAAGAAAAAGAAGAAGAGGAAGAAGAACAAAAAAAAAAAAAAAGCAAAAACAAAATAATAGCAAACTGAATCTAATAGCACGTTAAAAAGATGACTTACCATGACAAAATGGGATTGGTCCCAGGGAGGCAAAATTGTTTCAACATATGCAAATCAAGGAACAGATTCAACAGAAGGAAGGAGAAAAAAATGTGATTTTTTTTTTAAATTGGAAGGATCATATGATCAGACCTGTGGGATTATAAAGGGCTTCCTGAAAATGGTCTTGAGAATCTGGCCTGGCAGTTCTTGTTCAATTTTAAAGACCAAGAGTCATAGGTTGACCTGGAAATGGAAACTTTGTCTTTCGCCTCTTCATCCAGGGTTTGTTCCCCTACTCCAAGCTTGGCTCTGGTTGTTCAGAACAATGGACAAACTTTTGTGAAGAAAACAGATGACTAGAAATTCAGAAAGAATTTCTCAGAACTCAGCAACTGTCCTTTGATTTACATAATAACTCATTACAGTATTTAATTGTAGATTCTCTATAATTGGTAAACAATTATTTTCAATAGAATTGATATATTCTAAAATAAAAGGTTATGTACAATTTGTTTTGGTTCTATAAAATACTCCTTTATTAGTAGATAGTGTTGAATCTCTTGAAAGTCAAAACCTATTTATACATTGTAATAGCAATATGTACAAAAAAATAATTGCCGTACACACCTGATAATGCTCTCTGGCCAAATACTGATGTCCTGTGAAGACACTCCTGATGAGGAGCCAGGACATGAATAAATCCATGTCCACAATATGTTAATAGTATAATATTAATAATGTAATCACTTCCTAAGCATCTAAATTTAGCTCATTTTTATTTGAACTTTATCTCTTATGAAATATAACTCAGAGCTATTCAACATTGTTTCTGTCTTTGAGTTCACCATGCTTTTTTTTGGGGGGGAGGAAAGGTTGGGATCCTTTGGGTATTTTATTTCCCTAGTTCTCATTTTTTTTTTCAATTCTAAATACTGGCTGTTTCTCTGCACAGACGATTGCATTGCACTAGGAACTATATCCACCTGCACTTATTTGTGTCTTTCATGCTGAGAGCTATAAGCATTTTTGTCAAGGACAGAGTAGCCCAGGCTCACCTGGGAGTAGAAGAGCTGCAGTCCCTGATAATGCAGGATGACCTACACAATTCCATTGGAGCACCTTCTGTGGACAAATCACAATATGTAAGTGCGTCAAATTTCACAGCCCACTAAATGTCAACTTGTTTGGTCTTATTTTATATGATCTCTAAAGTAACTAAATTAGACTTCCAGTATCTATTTCCTCAATTCTGTCCTCTTAAGTCTAATCACTTATTTTGAATTATCAAAAGTGGTTTTCTCCAAGACATTCTGGAATGGAAACTCCAAAAGCATGCGATTCAAATGGCATATGATGTATGGAGCATAGCAGCGGCCATGGGTACTGCTTTTAAAAGTAAAGACTCATCAGCAAAACCAGAACCTTGGGATGTAAAAGCCCATGACATTTAGTTCCTTTATTATATACTTGGAGTCTCATTCCCATATAAAATTCCATGGTACTTGAGTCTCCTCTTAAATTAGTAAGTAGTCACCCAATAAACCAGCAAATTTGATCACTGAAGCAGTGTATCTGGAAATAATTTATAGTAGATGGGTCATCTTGATGGTACAGATTAAAGCCCAATCTGCATCTCTGCCTTTACTTGGTAAATTTATAGTCCCTGATAATCTGGTTCTTGACTGGCCTTGTGACTTGCTTTACCAACTAGCAGGAAAGCGGCAGTGTTAGTGAGGCAGATGGAGGTAGACTTCTGTGAGCCGAGTCTGGATGAGATGGGCAGAGATCATCCCAGATCAGCAGACCTACTCACCAAACCACAGACTTTAGAAAACATATTAAATGGTTATTGTTTTAGGTCATCCACTTTTGGGGCAGTTTGTTTTGTGGCATCAGAAAGACCAGAATAAAATTCCTAGTAGAAAGATGGATCATATTTTTTTCTATATACATTTTTATACTTCTCATTTTTTATGATGATCATATATTATTTTTCTTAAGAGAAAAAAAATAATGAAAAAGTGATTTTTTTCTAACTTTTAATAAAATTTTAATTTTAATAATAGAATCTAGCCTCATAGTCTTAAAAATGCTGTGTTGAAATAACTTTGTTCTGGTTTGTTTCAATGTTCTTGATTTTTCTATGCACAGAAAAATAATAGACTTTGAGAAAGCAACTGAAGTATTTTTTAGTAGTCTCATATACAATTGAGAGTTCTAATATGATGCCATTCTGGCTTATTTATAACAGATCGGGTGCAAGATTGCTGTTGTGATGTTTATTTACTTCTTGGCAACAAACTACTATTGGATCCTCGTGGAAGGTCTCTACCTGCATAATTTAATCTTTGTGTCTTTCTTTTCGGACACCAAATACCTGTGGGGCTTCATCTTGATTGGCTGGGGTAAGCATTTCTATCTCCTTTCCTTTAAACAGGTTATGGATTTATTAGCCCTTTTCCTGAAATATTCCCTCCTCATCTTGTCATTATCCCCTCTGCTTTTTCTTTCATGGTCCTATTCTAAAATGAAAATTATTAAGATCAATTCTATAATCCTCCCAGCATTAACCAACTTTTCAAGCTTAATTTATGTTTAGTGTTCTTAGGCCAAGAATCTCATGAAAGTCCTTTGGAGGACATTTAAGAGAATGCATTGTTAGCCACGGGCACTTGGAACTGCTTGGCTCATGCCCTGTGTCAGTGTTCTGCGTTATCAATAATTTCTCCCTAAATTTTTTTATTTGTGAATTTCTAAGTGATAATAATATGTTTTTGATTTGTATTTCTAAGTCATATAATAAGATTGCCAGAAATGACCATAGGACCATCAGGACTGCATTTAACATACACAAATTACAAACTAATTATGAGGACTTACCATGTCTTTAGGAGATTATTCAAATTACTTTTGGCAGAGTAAATTTAAAAAAAAATGATATTCAGCTACCATCCCCCAAATGACGTAGTACTGGAGCAATTAGTGGGTTAGGCACTAATTCAGCATGACACAGAGAAAAAGATGTTGTTTGTTAAAATTTGAGGGAAATGAAAGTTCATATGTGGTGAAAATAGAGAAGGGTCTGGAGGTTAACAACTGCAGATCTCAATTGCTATTTTAATGTTCATATTATGAGGTGCTCAGCATAAGGACAAAAAGTCACTAAGTGGCTCAAGGTTAATTTGAAGGTGTTTCTTTCCCCTCACTTCAAAATAGGAACATTCCTTTGCCTTAATATTATTTGAAAATGTGACATATATGAAATTTGCTGCTAAGCTTTAAAAAGACAAAGATCAATTCACAGCAACACTTCATTTATTACAAAATAATAAAATAAGAAGTTTTTATTTCTGAAGCTAGCCAGCTCATCTGATTAAGGCTCTTTTGGATAGAAGTTACTAAAAAAGAAAAAAAAAAGAGTCTCCTTTTTTAGAACACTTAGGAAATAATTTCTTGACAGTTTTTGATAGTTTGTCTTTGAATCAAAATTATCTGTGTACCCACATAATTACTAGACGTTGATAAAGGCTTTGGTCGAAAATTCAGTAATGAATGTGGAAGTTTATCTGAGTTATATTTTGTTTCTTGAATGTCTACATCAGTGGTTACATGTGTAATGAATATTTTTTTCCTCTATTACTGACCTGACAGCTAACTGGTGCAGACCTTTTACCAACTCTATTTGTGTAATATCCCTTAGAATCTCCCTTCTTAATTAAAGTGAGGATTTTTGTCATAATGAAACTTAGGAAACTAGTTTTCCAATCTTTCTATTAAAAAAAAAAAGAATAAAAAATCGCTATGGTGCTGGTGAGTTTCTACGTAAGTATGGTCTTCTAACCCTTCTTTACAACTTTTATCAATTTGTCCACAAAAATTTTGGCATAGAAATGACAACTAAAATAGATAAGCGTTGTTATCTGAAATCTTCATTTTGTGGACTAGCTTAAGAATGCACACAAAAGCAAGTAAGATTTTCATGACAGCTCACTGTGAGAGCATTTTCCATGTTCTATTATGCTCATTTAATTAATCATAGTCTCAAAAGACTATGATACCCACTCTTCATAGAATTATAGTTCCATGGCTAGTTTATCTATATTCAATTTCTCTCTTTGCAACTTCATCCTTTTAAAAATTAACAGTCTAGGTAATTTACAATCAAAAGAATAGTAATAGTACTATTTCTCTCCAAATCATAGCTACCATTTAATGAAGGACATATCCAAATCTTTTTGATTAATAGATTATTTTTCTCCTACCTTAATATGAGTGCCTGATTTAAAAATATTTTCTTTGCTGGGTTCGGTGACGCACACCTTAATCCCAGTGGGTTGGGTGGCTGAGGCAGGAGGATCATGAGTTCAAAGCCAGTCTCAGCAAAAGCTAGGTGCTAAGCAAGTCAGTAAGACCCTATCTCTAAATAAAACACAAAATTGGGCTGGGGATGTGGCTCAGTGGATGAGTGCCCGTGAGTTCAATCCCTGCGATCCCCTCCCACTCCAATTTTTTTTTTAACTTTACATCTGACTCATTTTTCCACATTTGTTTTCCACATGATCAAAACTATAGCTGCTTTGCAGGATTCTTTGTTGGAATAATTCAGAGTAAATCAAATTTCACACTTTTTCTCCAAAAGATATTTTCTTTTTATTGGTTTCACTAAAAAAGAGAACTTGCTTTGCTTTTTCTATTGCTCATTTGGACCCAATTATTATAGCTTCACATTCTCTTCATACTTAAATACTTAGAAACCTATTATTCACATTGTAGTGAGATGTGGTTACATTATTTATATTGATTTTGATGATTCTTAGTAATAAACTGGAAGAAAAGGAAAATTACAATCTGAAGAAGAGGACCCAAAGCTGACCTTTACTAAAATGAAGACAGATATTTAAAGTGACTTTTTTACACATTTTTTTTATCACAAAGAAAATGTACAGAGGAATGAAGGCAAATATTGATTTTTTTTCCTCCAACCAAACATATACTTACTTTTCTCTCTCCCTTTCTCAGTTCTCTCACAAATAAGAGACTTTACTCTTGGTTCCATATCTTCTTTTATCTACATATTTTTTCTTTATTTTAATTCAGTATCTTAAAATTTTAGGACTTATTTTTCATCTTTACTGAATACGGTGATTAACTTTTATATCAGCAGCCATCCTTAATTTTCAACTGTCAGATGAGACACCAGTATGTGAATATTATCATATAAAAGTATCTCTCCTGGTAATTCCATTCTGACTCTCTTTTTACAACTTCATTATTTTAAAAATAATTTAGTCTAGGGCTTACATAAAAAGAATAGTAATTTCCTTCAACACTCTCTCTGTTCCTAAATCATAGTCATGTCCCTGTTGCCAAGCTTTCATGTCCAATGTTTTCACGTTCTATGTTCTCTGAAAATAGTCAAGAAGGCACTTCCAGTTTTATTATCTCTGTGTAAATGTTCTTAACCTAGCAAACACTTTTTCATCATCATTTGTTAGTAAATATAATTTAAATACAGTCCCTTAGTCTATCTTGTGTTACTATAACAAAATACCAGAAGCTGGATAATTTGTTTAAGAAAGAAACTTAGTTAGCTCATTAGTTTCTGAGGTCCAAGAGCATGGGCTTCTGGTGAGGGCCTTGTGGTGGATAGGATCAGATGGCAGTTAGTACACGTAAGAGAGTTTATATGGTAAAGATGGAGCAAGAGACTGAGCCAATAATGTCAGACTCATTTGATAGCAGCCCATTCTTTCAGTAACTCATTTATTCCTGTGGATCCAACCAATTCCCATGAGATGGAGGTTAATCTCTTTTAAGGTAGTTCCCCCAGTGACAAAATCACCATTTATTAGTCTCCACCTCCTAAAGATTCTATCATCTCTTAACACTGCCATGTTGTGAATCATAAACTTTCAGCACCTTTGGAGCCAATTCATATCCCATATAAGAAACATGCAGTTTGACATTTTAGGTTATATTGTTTATCCATTTGACTATTCTGATAGTGTGTATTATATTCAAAAATTTAATTAATAAGTTCCGTTATTTCAAAAGTTATTTTTACTTATTATGAAAATTAATCAATTTTAAGTAAATGCATATATTGATATTTAAATTTAACTTTAAAATGTTTATTTAAATTAACATTAAATTTAAATAAAGTTAAATTTAGAATAACACTTAAATTTCAAATTTATTTTCCTATATTTATGTGTTCTAAAATATGTAATAATGTGATATTGAAATTGGTGATCAAAAATCCTCAAAGAATACCAAAGCAGTTTTCTGTTCTTTATTCATCTGTGGTTATCTCTATACTAGTCTTATAAATATGGGTGTGCCAAGAGTGTGAGAAAAGAAACTTCATTAAGACATAGGGTCTGATATATTTGTTATAATTATCATCTAAGACACAATGGCCACCCAAACATCATTAACCAATATTGTGTAGGGCATCATTCAGGAAATTGCTTGACCAGGAGAATGTTGATGCATATCTGAGAATGAGAAGATGCAAACATTTGGACCAAAGATAGACACTTTAAAGGCAGCAAACAGTAGAACACCAAAGGAATCTGTCAGGGTTTCTAGCCATCCCATTAGAAACATCCATGCCTTTTCCATTGCATGGAATCATTGTTGTTTTTCTAAAATAAGCATTAATTGAGAACCAAGTTTGTTTTTATTAATTTTTCTTTCATCAATATACATCTTTGAAGAAAACATGGATCATCTATTTGATCAATGTTTCTTCTTCAGAGACTAGAATAGTCTTTAACATATAAATGGGTACTTAGTAAGTGCTTCATGGATGAATAGTTGGATGGATGGATACACAGATGGTTGGATAGGAAGAAAGAATATGCAAGCTAAACCAAAGAAATAACAAAAATATCTTAAACCACAGCATTTGAGCAGATTAAAAAAGAATTATATGCAAACAATAAGTAAAATTTAAGTGTAGAATCATAAAATTCAATAGTCATATAGACAGGCTGAGGTTAAATTTAATTGGTTAGTTGGTCACTAAGGAGACCAAAGAAATTCTCTATAATGGGTATGAGCTTATTTTCAATTTGTGAAATATTTCTTTGTCTGAGGCTATTTCTGTTTTCACTCAGTTGCTTATAAAGAAATCTTGAAAAATTACAAATATGTTCTTACAAGATAAAGAATTTAGTAGTATGCTTGATTTAAAAAGTTCATAGCTAGATTAAAAATTTTTTTCTTGCCTTGTATGGTACTTCCTAGCATCTGCAATCTTTTAATTATGTTCTCTTTATTTCCTTTACTTAAACCTCTTTCAAAGGCCATAAAATTAATACTCCCACATTAAAATTCTTATTTCCCTACTGACATGTTTGTAAAAGTTTTGGTTTAAGTTTTTTTTTTTTTTTTTGATGTTGGAATTTAATTAGCTACAGCATGAACTGAAGGGTCATTCTCTACCGGGGAGCAAAGGACTCATGCAAAGTCATTATAATGGATTTGATATTGCAAGCTCATAGATGGTTATCATTTATGAAGAACAAATGTCACATGCTCAGAGCATCGAAATATCATAAGGGTCATCTTTGTTGAGCCATTAACACATGCAAATGCTTTGTCTTGAGACAATTTGGGAGTCAAAGAAAGGAAAAGGCCACAGTGGTTATGATTTCCTGATTTTATAACTTGCCGTGTTCATGCACTGCACTTTAAGAAAAAAAGAATGTTCTAATACTTAAAAAAAGAATTAGAGCTTTATAATTATACATAGCAGTTGGGTTCATCCTGACAAACATACACACGGAAATTGATTTCAGGTTATGAGTATCCTCTTCTCTCTCCCCATTTTACTTCCTGTCCCCCCTCCTCTCTTCCCTCTCCTCTCTCCACTCTATTAGACTTCCTTTCTCTTGTCTATTAATTTGCATTGGATTGATTCTTTGTGTTATCCTATTATTCCCTTCCCCTTTCCTTTATTTGACTCTAGCTTCTGCATGTAAGAGAAAACATTTGACCTTTGAGGTTCTGAGTTTGACTTATTTCACTTACATCATATTCTCCAATTCCACTGCTTTTGTTGTTTTTACTCCATCTGCTATTATTTTTATTTATTTATTTTTATGTGGTGCTGAGGATCAAACCCAGTGCCTCACACATGCTAGGTGAGCTCTCTACCACTGAGCCATGACCCCAGCCCCTCCACTGCTTTTAAAACAGCAATTTATCTCAGCTTCTCATGAGTCTCTTTGGTTGCATCTCTTCTTAAAAGCAGGTGGCTCTCAATGTGCCTGAAATCAAAGTGTTCAACCCTGCCTCCTTCTGACCCCAAGAACTTTAGTCCCCTCCAAATGTGTCTTGGCCCTAAGTCCCTCAAATGAAAACATGACCAACCATCATCTTCAGACTCCCAGGGATAAATAACGTCATTGTTCTCACTCATTTCTCAAATTGACAAGATGAAAATTAGGTGGACTTTTCTTATTCACATGTCAACATTTTCTTTGTGTCTTTTTTTTCTTTTTCAACTGCTAATAGTATATTTCTGTGTGTGATGAATGTGAAAAAATATATCCTTAATCTTAAGAGAAATGTAGTCTCTGAATCCTTTTCTGGTTACAGGGTTTCCAGTGGCATTTGTTGTGGCCTGGGCTGTGGTGCGAGCAACTCTGGCTGATGCCAGGTGAGTGAAAAAAAAAAATAAAATAAAAAGTTCCACAAGAATGGGAAGTTAGACTCCTTGTATGTATAATATGTCAAAATACATTCTACTGTCATACTGTCATGTGTAACTAAAAAGGACAACAACCAAAAAAAAAAAGAAGAAGAAGAGGAGGAGGAGGAGGAGGAGGAGGAGGAGGACGACCTCAGGTTAGGAGGAGGAGGACCACCACCTCAGGTTTGGAGGAGGAGGAGGAGGACCACCTCAAGTTTCCTCCAGACTCAGATGTTCTGCTTAGAATCCACTAATGGCTGCTCTTCTTCATGCCATTGTCCTGTAGGGATGTCCTGTGGGAAGTTGCCTTGACCCAATGGTAGTCCCCAATACAGTACTCACAAACTGTCCATCCCACAGGTCACAGATCAGATTAGATTCTAAAACTCCATGGTTTATGAAGTCAGTTAAAACATACTGTGAGAAGCAAAGGGAAAGGAGGTTAAGGGGGACACACTTAGCATATGGGGTGAGCAGGTGGAGGGATCCCACTACCTGAGTTGTGGGAGAGGCAAGGTTCATGCTTCCTCGGCCTTCCTCACAGATGAGGTTGTTATGAGGACCAGAAACAAGACAATGAGAGTGTGGCCAGGGCACCCAGAGAGAAAGTGCTCTGGGCCAGTGACACATACTTACGGTGTCAGAGACACGGGCCAAGGACACTGGCCATAGCTATCCCTTCCCAATTGACCTCTGAGCAGCTCTGGGATTTATTGTTATTTTGGGGGCAAAGGACATATGAGAGTGTTTTTCACCCATCAGTGGCTGAATTAAGACCTCAAGAATATTGAGTCCTTCCTGTCTACCAGGAATGGTTGGTGTCTCTTGTCTGTTTAATATCGTGAACGTTGAGTGCCCTGTTGTCTCATACGTCCTTAGTACCTGATGGTGACACATAAATGCTCTGTGTACTAATCACTTATCTATATTTAATGAAAATTATAGGTTTCATCCATCTCATTTGTTCTCTTCTTAATAGTAGAAGCCTCAGTCACAGAATACAGTTTAACATCCAGGGATTGTACGTGTTGTATACCTTTCAGTTCCAGTTTCAGCTCTTTGGGAGCTTTTCTTTAATTTGAACCAATGTGTTTGTTTTGGATTGCCAGCTATTTCCTTCAGAAATTAGTTTATCTGCTGAGCACTGGAAAAGAAAAAGCCACATTATGGGAGCACCTGAGCTTTTTAAAGAACGTGCCATGATCTGCTCCTGAAGATCTGAACACTCTGGCCACTGTCTTAGGTGTAGCTTCTCTCAATTCCAAGACTTATTGGCTTCATTTTTCTTTTTGGTACTTGGGATTGAACTCAGGGGTGCTTAAACACTGAGCCACATCCTCAGCCTTGTTTTGTATTTTATTTAGAGACAGGGTCTCACTGAATTGCTTAGGCCCTCACTAAATTGCTAAGGCTGGCTTTGAACTCATGATCCTCCTGTCTCCAGCTATCCAAGCTCCTGGGATTACAGGATACCTGGCCTCATTATATTATTTGGATTTGTCTACCATGGGCAAATTGGATTAATATTTTCTATGTTATTATTATTATTGCTATGTTTACACAGGGATGTGAGAGATCTCAAAGACAACTCGCAGCATCTGTTATTTGATTCTTAGGGGAGGGAGGTTGAGTCAGTAAGTAGGTACTATCGAGGCTACAGTAATCACATTCTGAGATGTGTAACTGTGTAATTGTGTTTTAGAGATGGTAGGATCCAAGGTATTTTCTGGTCCAACACTAATTTTAGACATAAATAAAATGAGACCCAGAGACATCATGACACCTTCTCAGAGCACACCACCAGTTTTTAAGCAGAATTTTTCACTTATTCATTCATTTAACACGTATTCTAGGCCTTTACCACAGGGAAGCATGTATACTCACAATTCATTTTATATTGAATTAGATATTTAGCTTTCTTTTTTCTCATTTTCTTCCTTAAAGGTTACAAATTAATTTTGAAGCATTAAACTCACAAGTCTTTACTGAAAAAGAAGCAATATAAATTTATTTTTTTTGAGGTCACAATTCATGAAGCATATAAAATGTTACAAAATATAAGTGATGCTAAGTATTTCTTTAAAACAAGTGAATTAATGTGAATGTTAAATATAAGTTAGATCATGTGGCTCTGCTGTGCAGAATATTTCACTTTTCTTCTTCCTTACTCAGAATAAATCTTGAATTCCACAGTCCTCTCATTGAGAAATACGAGTGAAGGGATCATTTTATATTTTATTTTGCACATAAACTATATTACTACTTATTTCATGATTTCAAAAAGAAAAGAAAGCTTTTTAGTTTTCTTTGGGTGAAATCTGACTTACATAAAGAGCACGTCACAAAGCTCAGCTGAAGAGAACAGACTTCACAGCTCTCTGAATAATGGATGGGTTCATCCTTGTGACTTGTGCATTTGAGACTCAACTTCTTCTGGCTTAGCTTTTCAAAGCTAGAGCTTTGGTTTGTCCACATTGTGGCCATTCAGAGATAAGCAGATTGAACCCAGTTCTAAAAGATATTAGAAATGCTATTGAATATATGTAGAAGTTCCTTCCCATTCTAAAATGCCATTGAGAGTGGGACATAGCTGAGGGAGGCTGAGATTATTCAATAGCTTAGGCAGGATAATAAACTTAGAGTGAATAATTTGACTCTTTCTTTCTTTCCTTTCTTTCCTTTCCTTTCTTTCCTTCCTTCCTTCCTTCCTTTCTTCTTATGAAAGCAGCAACACCATACAGATGTCTTATTCCCTTCTCCTTGCCTCCTTCAAAGGAGACAATAACACTAATGAATGGGGACACCTGGAGCTTCTTTGCCATGTTTTTGTTTTACCATTCAGAAAGAGAGGTTACTGGTGACGAGTTCTGCTCCCTCACATGTTGAAGTATAACATTAGAGCAGCATGCCAAGGCAAGCGTGTAAAGTAGGATTTATTTAAAAAGGGGTAACATAGACTTCTCCCAGGAGGGAGAAGGGGGTCATAGCTGTTATCCTCGTATTCCAAGAAGTGAGGGTGTTCTGCCTTTTTTTTATATGTCCTAGGCTTCCTTTGTTACCTGCTCTCTTCCCCTTATCTCTCTCCATCCTGCATAGATTCCCAGGAGATGCTCAGGGGTAGGATGGCCAAAAGGTGAGAAGCAGATGGACAAGGGGAACAGCCCAGGACACCTTAACTAACACCTTTTACAACTCTCTCTGGGAAGGGACAATTCCTGAGACCTGTTACCTTAGCAATGGATTGAAGCAGAGGCAGGTTATCTTAGGGTGGAAGAAGGGCTCTGAAGGCATTAATATGTCAATCCCTCAGGGATGGCCTCCAATTTCCTGGACCCAAATTGGCCTCCTTGATCCATTTAAACTGATTTCCCTATTTATACTGACTGCCTCTTTTAATTCTGGCTTCATGGTGGGGCTTCTGATGAAAAGATACTATAACATCTGCATAGGCTCTGGGGTTGGGCTTCTCTTTATAAAACTATTTCTTTTAAATGTTTTTATTAGTGCATTATAGTTATTTATAATAGTGGGATTCATTTTGACATTTATAAATGCATATAATCTAGTTTTCTCCAATTCTGCCGCTAGTACTTCTCTTGTTCTTCCCTTCTTTCCTCTCCCTTGATCCCTACCTCTATTCTAATGCTATCTTTTCTATTTTCAAGATTCCATCTTTCGTTTCTTTCTCTCTAGCTTTACATGAGAGAAAACATTTGACCCTTGACTGCCTGAGTCTGGTTTATTTCACTTAGTGTCCTTGATGTTCTCCAGTTACATCCATTTACCAGCAGATAACATTATTTCATTCTTATTCATGACTGAGTAAAATTTCATTGTGTTTCTATACTACATTTTCTTTATCCATTGTCTGTTGATGGACACCTAGACTGGTTCCTTAACTTGCCTATTGTGAATTGTGCTGCTATAAACATTGGTATGCATGTATCATTATAGTATGCTGATTTTAGTTCTTTTGGATAGATTTCAAGGAGTAGGATAGCTGGACTGTAAGATGGTCCCACTTCTAGTCTTTTGAGGAATCTCCATACTACTTTCCAAAGTGGTTGTATTAATTTGTAGTCCCACCAACAATGTTAAGTGTACTTTCCACACATCCTTGTCAGGAATCATTTGTATTCTTGGGGTGATTGTCATTACAACTGGGGTGAGATGAAATCTGAGTATAGTTTTGATTTGCATCTTCCTGATCACTTAGGATGTTGAACATTTTTTAACATATATTTGTTGGCAATTTGTATTTCTTCTTTTGAGAAATGCCAATTTAGACCTTTTGTCATTTATTGAGTGAGTTGTAAGGCTGTTCGTTCCTCCCTCCCTCCCTCCCTCCCTCCCTCCCTCCCTCCTTCCCTCCCTTTCTTCGTTCCTTTTTCTTCTTTCCTTCCTTTCTTTTCTTTTCTTTTCTTTTTTCTTTTCTTTTCTTCTCCTCTCCTCTCCTCTCCTCTCCTCTCTTCTTTTCTCTTCTCTTTTCTTTTCAACCAGGGATTTAGCCCAGGGGCACTTAACCTCTGAGCCACATCCCCAGCCCCACATTTTTTGGTATTTTTTATTTAGAGACAGGATCTCACTGAGTTGCTTAGCGCTTTGCTAAGTTGCTAAGGCTGGCTTTGAATTTACAATCCTCCTCCCTCAGCCTCTGGAGCTGCTGGGATTACAGGTATGTGCCATTGCATCCGACGTGTGTGTGTGTGTGTGTGTGTGTGTGTGTGAGTGTGTGTGTTTTGATGTTAAGTTTTTTGAATTCTTTATACATTCCAGATATTAATCCTCTAGTGGCAAAGAATTTCTTCCATTCTGTAGGTTTTCTCTTCATGCTCTTGTTTTCTTTGCTGTACCAAAGCTTTTCAATTTGATGCCATCCCACTTGTTGATTCTTGGATTTATTTCTTGAGCTTTTGAAGTCTTATTAATTAAGGAAGTCAGTATGTGTGCCAATATATTGAAGTGTTGCACCTGTGTTTTCTTCTAGCAGTTTCACTGTGTCTGGTCTACTTCCTAGGTGTTTGATACACTGTAAGTTGGTTTTCATTCAAGGTAAGAGATAGGGAGCTAGTTTCATTCTTCTACAGTGGATATCCAGTTTGGGGTGCTGGACTCCTCTTGCCTTCTCTACTCTTACTGATTGTCAGTTGTGGAGAGAATGCAGCATTCAATTAAGTCAATTCACTGGGTTCCTCTGGCAGAATCGGTGCATCTATTTCCAACCCTGATGTAGAAAATTCTTTTTTTTTTCTAGTCATACATTTGTACTTCGTACCCCATCCTTCAGAGTGGCATTTTCCAGCTAAAGTGTATTTTAAAAACTCTGAACAGAGATTTATGTAAACGAACATAGTGTGAGGTAGGGCATTGAAAAACTAATTAAAAACAAGGATTTGTAGCAGTTTCTTTAAAAGGTATAAAATCTCAGTTGCCTATGTTATATCAAAGGGTAAATTTGAAACGTTGACACTGAAAACCATCAAAATCAAGGTTTTCAAGGTAGCTGATTTTGACTTTCTAAATACAAGTTTTTTTAAGAACTAGAATTGCATAATTGAATCTCATTGTGTTCGGAGGCATCATTCTGAAGTGTCATCCAAGTGAAGAAAGGACTATGAAGTTATTATCAAATGTCAAGAAATGTATGGCATCCAAAAGCCTTGTAGCTAGTAAATCAGTGTTTAGTTTATTATTCAGATAGTACATTTGCCACTTTCCTTATAGAAAAAAAGCTTTGGGTAGTATGTTACATATTTTGCACAAGTCTAACAATATCTTTTGTCTTTTTGATCTGGTTGAGTAATGTGAAAAATAGATGTCTGTACAAATGGAAGGAAATGTTCAATAACGTGAAATTTCTGTTCCTCGGGTTTCCATGTCATTCAAACATTAACTTCATCCACTTTGCATATTTCCACTGGAGTGGACCAGAATTACACTTTAGGGTGGGGTCTGCTTGATTTCTATGGTACAGTATTGCAATGGAATATATGACTTATCTGACAAGTGTGCTGTATGACTGCTCTCTCTTGGCACTGATATAGAAATTTATATATAGGTGTGCTAGCTTGGGGTTACTATAGCAAAATACCTGAAATAATCAACTTTAAAAGAGGAGGAGTTTATTTTGACTCGTAGTTTCAGAGGTTTCAGTTGTGGTTGCTCAGCCCTGTTGGTTTGGGCCTGTGGTGGCACAGTACACCATGGTGAGAACATGTGGAGAGGAGGCTGCTCATCTTGGAGCCTGGGAGGTAGAGAGAGAGAGAGAGAGAGAGAGAGAGAGAGAGAGAGAGAGAGAGAGAGGAGGAGGGATTGGGGTCCTAATAGCTCATAAAGGACATGCCCCTAATAACCTAACTTCCTTCCATTTGGCCCTGCCTCCTGGGACAACCTTTTAAGACTCGGGCCTTTGGGAGATAGTCAAGATCCAAACTGCAGCAATAGAGGAAAATAAGAATGTAACTTCTGTCTTTGTTTTATATTCATATAGTTTCTGTATTTGTTTTATATTAATATATTCATAAATACAAAAACTCATCAATTCCATTTCACTAAACAAGCTAATTTTTGTTTCTATGGCAAGAATAGTCAGCATTTGGCTTTTTGTTGCATTTTCCTGGATAAGAATGATTTGCCTTCTTGTCAGAAACACTAGAAGCACATTCAATAAGGCAGTAGAAGATGTTGTGTACAAGAGGAAAGGACAAAGGAAGACAGCCACACGAGAGACGGAGACATCTCAATGTCTGCCTTTTTGCATATTTTGATTTTTGAAATGAGAACATATTAAATTAAACTTTAAGAAATTGTTAGGTTTGTATGGAAGAATATTCCTTTAAGACATAGTTGAAAAAGTTTTATTATTCATAACTTGTTCACAAATAAAATGTAACTTATTTATTAATTAACAAATTATCATTATATCCCCAGAATTTCTTGATATTATTTACTGTTCGTACAGTCACTGCTATGTTTTCTCCAAGGAGAAATAAATAGAAAGGTGTTATTTATGTGTTTTTAATTAAAAAAAACTGTTTAAATCGATACATTAGAGTTTTAAGTGGAGCTAGATTTTTTTTTTTAATTAAAACTACTCTGTGCTCTTCATTCCAGTGTGTAAGACCTTTCTTCAGTTCAATTTAGATGGGGTGAGACTGAGACAAACTTACCTCAGATTTCATTTATGTCAATGCAAACCGATGAATATTTGTTGATTATCTACCTATTATGTACTTTTCTAGGCACTTGTAATACCTCACTACACAAAAGCAGTAACGATGCCTACCCATATAGAACTTGAATTTTAGTTAGTAATCATAAAGTAAGTATAAGAAATAGATAAATTATGTGGTATTTTTATTAAGTGCTGCTAAGACAATTTTTAAAAAATTCAATATAAAAATTATGGTTGATATACAAAATAAAGTAATCATTGTCAAAGCTTTTTAAAATCCTTATTAAATGAAGGAGCTCATAAGATGTCATAATTGGTTCAAAACAGAAATCAAAGAACAACATGTTCATATTCAGGAAAACAAATGCCGAAAAATTACAAATAAATACAAAAACTCATCAATTCCATTTAATTGAACAAGCTAATTTTTATTTCTATGGCAGGAATAGTCAGCATTCAGCTTTTTGTTGCATTTTCCTGGATAAGAGTGATTTGTTTTCTTGTCAGTGTCCTACAATTTATGAACTCACAAAATAAATAACGTCTGATAGAATGAAAAATTTATCAACAAGATGTAATATATTTCATTTCAATGGTAGTAAAAGCAAAGTATAAATTGTACCACATTTAGAAGACTGTACTTGATGTGGCTCTACAAACAAGGCTTTGACTCTGGTCACTATGAAAGTAATATGTTAACATTTAGAATACCCTGCTTATATAAGGACCATTTAAAGCATGATATCAGGACTGTTACATGTTCTTTCACTAGTTTGGATATTTCAAGATTTTTTTCATCTCTTTGTCTCCTTAATCAGAAGCTTAGGGTTAGAGATTTTGGTAAAACTGAAATGTTACTTAATTTTCATTACCTTTTGCTTTGCCAAATTTATTCATGAAAATCCCTTTTCATATTTCAGGTGCTGGGAACTTAGTGCAGGAGACAGGTGGATTTATCAAGCTCCAATCTTAGCGGCTATTGGGGTAAGTTGAAAAGCTTGTATAATTTTTTTTAAAGGTGAATAATTAAACTGCTGCTAAAACCCAGAGAAAGTTTGTCTGTCCTGATAGTCTATAATAGGTTTGGGAAACACTCTCATGTATAACAATAGCTTTTGGAAGAGTTGGGTTGGGGATCAGACCCTGATTTGTGGTTAACATTGAGACCCATACAGAAATCATGGGTCCTTTTAATCAGGTAGCATTTGGGAACAGTTCCAAGATTTCAAAATATTTATGAATATATATATATATATATTCATATATGTGAATATATATATATATATATTTTTCAGAAGATTGTAATTCTCTTTCCCCTTTTTAGCTATTATATCTCCACTTCAAGTTTTCTGATGACCTAGTAATGATTTGGGATGATGGAGAAAGAAAGTTGGAATAGCAGGAGACCAAAGAAATTCCTGGGAGAGGACAATAATATGATCCATTATAAAGTATTACCTAAAGCTTGTATTTTATTTTTTTCTGCTCAGGATCACACTCTGGCCTTCACACGTGCTAGGAACCTAAAACTTTTATTTGATGTATTTTTCCCAAGGAGTTCAGTGGATTTGGGGGTTTTTATTTATTTATTTATTTATTTGGCATCAGGAATAAACCCAGGGGTGTTTAACCATTGAGCTACATCCCCAGCCCTTTTCTACTTTTTATTTTGAGACAGGGTCTTGCAGAGTTGCTTAGGGCCTTGCTAAGTTGCTGAGGCTGACTTTGAACTTGCAATTCTCTTGCCTTAGCCTCTTGAGCTGCTGAGATTATAGACTGCCTTATCATGCCCATTGAGTTAAGTGGATTTTATACTAAGAAATATCCTGAAGAATCCTGCTAGTAGGTAATAGGGAAAATGATTAGAGTTGCCAATGCATCTTACACAGGACCTTATATACTTGTAAGATTTCTGCTGTCTATTGCATCTATGTTACTAAGGAAAACAAAACTGCACAATTTTTGCATCCAACAAACTCACCAAAACGTTTACTCTTGACCTTCCTTGAGACTTTATAGCATCAGTTTCGCTGTGGTTTGATGAAGAAGTTACACTGTCATGTGGTTTCCTGATGTTCATGGATGTAATGCAGGATTATGAGCCTCTTAAAAACAGGACTTTTGTTCCAGTCCTAAAACTTTAGTCATTAAAAAATAATTTAACAATCTGGTTATTAACTGATTTTTGGGGGGGTATGTGTGTGTGTGGTGGGGGGGGTCCTCATTCTTCACTTTCTTATTTTTCTTATTTTCTTTTCTTTTGGACAAAGTGTCACCCAGTTTGTCAGCACATTGCAGGTGGAACCAAGATGGGTAGTGATTAATATAGCTGAGGTTTTGTAGGATCATCCAGGGAATTAGTTAAAAGCTTATTTGCTTCACAGGAAATATGCTAAAAGAAAAATAAAAGAAAACAAAAGAATCTGTATTTTATAGACCCATTGATATAATATTTAGAAGTGGAAATAAAATATAGAACATTTTTGGAGAAAACCAGTTTGTATCTTTGCTAAATATCCTGTTACCAAATTAGACCCAATTCTGTTTAAGGAGAAGTTAAAAAATGGATTAGGGACAAAAGAATGACTTAAAATTATCAACTCTCTTCATTTTAATTTTTAATGTAATGACATGCTACTATGCTAATCTAGTGAAAAGCCATCCCAGAACTACAACTGTGTTCCAGAGAGAACATCAGTAAATTTGAAAATTTAACTTTATAAAGTAGCGTCTGTTGTTTACCACTTCGATTTCCCTTTCATCCCCTGGAACTCTTCCTTATCCATATTTCCATGACTTTCATTTTCTTACTTTCTAGTTTCTCCTTTTTAGGGAGAAAACTTACATCTTATTATTTATTTATTTATTTTTATATCTTCACTGCCCAGTACTGGTACTACTAAATGAGAGATGCTCATTTAATGCTCTTAAATATACCTACATTCTAATGTAATGATTAATTTTGCTTTTTTTTCATTTGATGAAAAGGAAATACCTATTAAAATCCAAGGGATCCTTACAACATTATTAGGAAATAAAGCAAAGGCAGTGAAGAAAAGCCAATCACAGGACGTTTTCCACTGTAACAGTCGATGTTTATCCAAAGCTGTGTTTATAGATATAAGTGACTCACATCATCAATATGAATGAAAAGTTTATTTGCTGAGGTTTCTAAATTGTCGTGAAGTTAGGTGATCCAAAAGTGCTAAAAGCTTCACCATTGGTGAAGGGAACCAGATGGTGAAGGTATACTCGGTATGTTTGAAGAAAACTTAAGTGGACGTCCATTTTCACCTTGAACTAAAGTTATAACAGCTCTAAAGCAGGAATTCCAAAATACATTCCAGTATTACAAAGTCCATTTTATCAACAATCACAGGGGCACCTTTCTGTTTACCTAGAGTTACCTTTTCTTCTCTTTATTATAATTCAGGGATGTAAGAATTCCCTTGAAGATGTTTAATTTACACACAGTCTGCTAATGTATCTGAAATGTCTCCTAAAATGTCAGAAATTGGGCTTGAAATCAATATCTCACTTGGTTTTACCAACCAGTTAGAAGAGGTTGAGTTATGAAAGAAAAATCAAAAAGGCAAGTGGAATCCTGAGGGAAATAAACAATAGAATTACAAAGAGAAGCACTAAGGTGGAGTTAGCAATAAAGTCAGGGAAACATCTCGAGAGACAAGAAGATAAACTTGATGAACAGAGAGCTCCTGAGGCAGATTTGGCCTTTGGGAAGAAGGACGTGGAAGACTCCTGCGGGTGATGATAGGCCAGGTAGTGAGACTGCCAGGGCAATGGCTCAGAGCATGCACAGAAGTCCCAGAGAGCCAGTAATTAGAGGACATGCAAGGACCCCAAGTGGGACTGTTTTTAAACCTGGATTCCAAGGACATTGGTGTGTTTACTAGGAATTCCAAAGGGCTTTATAAGCAAGAATGGCATTGAGAAAGAATAAGTTCACTTAGTATCTACTTGGGAAGAAAGTGGGCATTAGTAACAAACACAAAATCATGAGCAAAGAAAGTAGTGATTCATAGGGCAGATTTGTTAATTATTATTAGTTTTTGATCAGGAGAAGTCATAAGAGATTTTTGATGGGTCTGACCTAAGGCTGTGTGGAAGGAAGTGTCAAGAGATGAGGCTGCATTGAGAGCGGGGGCCAGACTCTGAAGGGGCTCATACAACTCACTAAAGAACTGAGACCTATGGAGGCCCTGGGTTCCACCCCTACTTCTGCAAATGAATGAATGAATGGATAAATATTAAAATAAAAAAATAAAATAAATGAAAAAAAAGGGATTAGATTTCTCATTCAGAAAGTACCAGAACTTGGTGGAGCCCAGTGGTGGGTAGTCAGGCAATAAAGGGTGCCTGCATAACTACCTATCTAGTGACCAGGAAAGGGATAGGGATCTGAGAGCCGGGAGGCAAAGAAGACCAAGAACTGGGGTTTGGAGTTCTGGGTGCTTTGCTTTTACACTTGGACTTTATTTTCCTCATTTTCAGGACCCAGTCCCTTGTACCTCCCCTCACCCCCTGTCATGTCACCATCTGTTCGTGCTGCCTCAGCTCCATACAATGCTCCCCTGTAACTTCTGTGAACCTGCTGCACTGTTTCTCACCTCGGGGCCTTTGTCTGGGCTATGCTGTCTGCCTGGTACGCTGTTCCTCCTACTTGTCACCTGCCTGCTGTCCTTCCTCCCTTCAGGTCCCAGCTTCAAGGTAACCTCCCCAGACAGGCCTTCTCTCCATCTGACTGATGAGTGTCACAGTCATTAGGAGCACAGTCTCTGGTCCCGGCTGCCTTTGATAAGAGTCCCAGGGCTGCCCTTTTGTAGGGTGTACAAGGTGGAAATGGTGGTGCAGGCTGGTCTTGGCCAAGTTCTTCAAACTCAGGGTCCACTTTGCAATTTGTAAAATAGGGAGAATAGTACAGGTGAGGTGAGTGAATAATTGGACAGCCTTAGAACAGTGACTGGCACATGGAGCACCATGAGCATTTTAGGTGCCATTATTTTTATTTGTTATGTGTTAATCACTTGCTCATAGCCCAGGCAGATTCTCTTCACCCCGTTATCATAAAAATGAAGTAATAGAAATAATGTCACTTTCTGGACAACAATAATGCTCCTACTTGTGCCTTGTATATATCTGTAGGTGTGTCTTAGAAATGACAGGTCTCCCAGGAACCATCTGGTTTCCTGACTCCACAGTCATGATGACACCATGAGCACTCTTCTGGCCATCTGTCCTTCTGATTGGGAATGTCCTCTCTTTCTTATCCGTGAGGGCTAGCATGACATTTCTTTGACTATTATTTATAAGACCATTAAGACATTTGTTAAAAATAATGTATTTATCTCTTATAGGATTAAAGGTTTTTTTTTACCGTTGTTATTAAAATTTTTAGTATTATCTGTTTTTGCAACTGGAAGGTTTTCTTTTGAAAACAAATAGATATTTAGATTTTGATAAAGTCATTAAACTCTTAATTTTGTAACTTTTCAGGTAAATCATTCCATGATTCTCCTGTTCAAAAAAACATGAGGTGAGAAAAGTATAAAGCCATGATCTTATTTTCACTTTCACTTTCTTGCTTCCTATGTGAGGTCTTGTTATTGAATTCAATCAATATTTGATTAAAAAGAAACCATCCCATGGTCTTCCCAGTGACTTGCTGGCAAACCAGGCAGACACCGCTGTGCTGAGCCTGCCTGGCACCCTGGGTCTGTTTTCTCTGGGTCTGCGTGGAGATGGAAAGCTGTGTAACTCTGGTGCAGGACTGGTCTGGGCACCAATTTTTGTATATGCTCAGAAATCGCTCCTTAGTGCTCCACACTGCAGTCTGGTCTTTCTTGGGAGTGAAGCCAAATATGCCAGAAGTTTTGAGCCTGGACTCTTGGCCAGACACCCCTTATTAGGATTCCTCTTATTCATTTTTTATTTTGTTGGCTCTGTGTGTGTGGGGGTGTGTGTGT